GCTGATTCAATGCTATTTACCCAGGTTTTACTCCACAATGCATGGTAACAAACATATACATATATTTAAATACCGATGAAATGTACAAATAATAACTAATTACATTTATTGGTTAATTCTGCAGTTACTTATATTGTGATTACACACTATCTTGATGTATGGGTTCATTATTATAATCTCAACTGCTACTTGAGAAGCCATGCTTTGGTTTCTGGTCAATGCGGCACAACTGTCTAGTGCTGTCTTGTGGCTGGTCTTGTTTCTTACCTTTGAGCCAATTCAAATTCACGTGACATTACGTATGACAGAATGAAAATGTCACATCGTGTGTCATATCCATGATCTTTGACATGTGTGAGCCCATTGTTGAGGCTATAAGGCCATTTCATCTTGTTGAAGATTTTTCTCATGTTTTATGACTCTCTAATAAACATTGTTTCATCATTTGGGGCACATCTTCATTAGCATGTAAAAACCATAAGACAGGTTTGTCTGAGTTAGTTGTTCCTTAATTAAATTTTTTAAAAGTATATATCAGATGAAGAAAGGCTAATTTCTGGCATTTTCACACTCAAAGCCCACAGAAGGTGTCAAACTATTTTAGAGAAAACAAGAAAGAGAAATACAACTTTCTCTCCTATAGCTACAAAGTATATTTTAAGTTACTGTCTTGAGACATTTAAACTCAGAATTTCCAATTCCTGCCAAAGACAGAGTGGGGGGGAAAGGATGATACTGTGCAATTGGGCTAGCACCTTTGATTAAATTTTAATGGAACACTTACGATTTTTCTCAGTGTTAACCACAATCCAGGTGGGAAAGGATAAATTTGGGGGGGGGGAATAATAAAGAGATTGTCTTTCAGGAATGAAAAGTAAATGTAATCTGAGATCAATATTTATGAAGTTGTGATTAATTGACTGATGATCAAATGATTACAAAACGTCTGTCTGAAACATCTCCTCAAATTTATTAACTTTGACTAAAAAAATTAAAAAACAATCTGAACTGGGTCAATGAAAGAATAATGCATTCCTAATCAATTTTTAATAGCACTTAAGATTTTATATTTTTTTAAACTTGCTTTTAAATAATTTATCATAAAAATGAATCTGATTTAAACAGGGGGTAAAAGGTGTTCCATTGCTATTTGATGGTTTTCTCAGTAAAGAAATTCAATTATGACTGACTTTTTATTACTGAACTACTTTATTAATAATAATACATCTGGCACTTACATGAAGGCATTTGGCCAAAAATCTCAGAGACCATCAAGTGAGAGCTAGGATTTTGCTCCAATTCTACCATTATCTGAAGGTTACCTAATCCAGACATACATTTCTTTACCTGTGGGAGGAAAGACCTGTATTACACCTGCTAGAGTCCTATTTAACACTAAAACTTGATGATTCCAAGGGTTTAGTAGTTTTAATCCTATTCTCAGTCCTCTATCTGGTGGGACTGCCCAGATCACACAGAACTCCTTCCAGATGGACTGTGAGAAAGTTGAGAAAGGAAGTGATAAGTCAATGTGTTATGTAATCTTCCTGTTAGCGTTAAAGGAATGGCAGCATCATTTAATGATTTTTGGACAAAGTGTTTTCTGACATTACTTACAAAATAATAATACTAACAATAATACGGTGGAGAGATAATTCCTGGCTTGCAACCACTTACATTATTATAAATAAATAAAGTTTGGAATGGGCCTGAAATCATCCTGGACAATCTCCTCCCGTGAGAGTAACTGTTTCTGAAAACCCACCGGAGGTCCGCTATGAATCCAACTCTACAATACAAAACAACAATAGTCACGGATTGAACTGATCCTTCCAAATATGTGTCAACTTGGCTAGGCCGTGATTCTCGGTGGTTCGACAGTTATGTAATGGTGTAATGTGACAGTTACATAGGGATCTCTCATCTCTCATGAGCTCATAAAACAATCAACCTAAAAGTTAATGTCAAGATGCAATGGCCTTAACCCTCTCCCCCATGGCTATAACCCCATGTAAGAGGACCTGAAGTGTGGCCTACCTCACCTTTCATTGTTTAAGAGATAAAAAGAGAGGGGAAACATACAGAGAGAAAAATGACCTACTACTTCCATAATCTTTCCAATTAGTTGCTACACATCTGAGAGCTGGACAATGAAAAAGGATGACAAGAAAGATCACTCCAGCAATACTTCCAAGAGAGCAAGACGTCCAGGAGGCTGCCTCTGATCTCTATACTATGTTGCTTTCCTTATAGCATTAGTAAAAGCAGTGCCATTGGTTTTGTGTCTGAATCTTTCCACTCTCAAATTTTCTTTTTTTAATCTCAGATGGGTTTTGTTTGCAGGAATTTAATCACATAAATTGTTCTCTACTTAAAAGCTCCAATGCCTATCCCAGTTTGCACATATCAATGAACCTACAAAGGCTTCCTTTGCATCTCAAAAGTGTACAGTGAGTAAGTATGACAGAAGAGTCAATGCCTTTGAGTTGTAGTGCTGGAGAAGAGTCCTGAATATTCCATGGACTGCCAAGACAACAAACAGACATGCCTTGGGGAAAGTACAACCAGGCTGCTCCTTAGAGACTATGATGGTCAGCTGTCTCCCACACCCTGGGCATATTGTCAGAAGGGGCAAGTCCTTTGAAAATGGCATCATGCTGGAAAAGGTTGAGGGTCAGAGAAAGAGAGGAAGACCTTCACTGAGATGGGTTGACACAGTGTAACAATAGGCTTGAGCACATCAGAGACCATAAGGATGGGGGTGAGAGGGCAGGGTTCAGACCTGTTGTTCACAGAGTCTCGACCGAACAACATGAATCGACAACATAAGCTAAGCCTCCATGCTAGTCTATTTTTTCCCCATTTGGGCCTTTTATTTCTTAGAAAGTACTGGGGAAACTGGACCTTTATATTATTGTGTTTTGAAGTCTAATCTTAGATGTTAAATGCTTTAACAACCATATACTGCTTTGCAAAATTAGCAAATTCATAGAATGTTCATACCAGATGAGACTTTTGAAAACATCTACTTCAAGGCTGGGCTGTCACTGTCACCCACTCACAGTGACGCTTGAAATCCCATGGTCTCATCCTTACTACAAGTTCATGCTGTGGTTTCATTGCTGCCATTTTACAGTGGCTGTATTTGTTTATTTTTAGAGTGTTTTTTACCTACAGTGTTGTCATAAGTAGCATCTGTGACTCTACATCAATGACTTTGTGAAAAGGAAGAAAAATAAAAACCCATTTTCACAAAAAAAAAAAGTGCTATGTTGCAAGTGGTATGGAGCTGTGCTTCTAATCCACCAGCTTGAGGGAGAAAGATAGACAGTCTCCTCCGATGAGATTTACTGCCTTTGAAAATTCACTAGAGGGTCAGCTATGGGTAGACTAGATACCACATAACAACAACTACTTAGAAGCAAACTATAGTTCTAAGTCTGATATATTTCAGATTCAGTTCAAATTGAACTTGGAAGTACTTCAGTTTGAGAGCCCGTTAGAAGGAGTGAAAAGGAAGAACAGTATGATATTAGGAGTATTAGACTTTTCTTTGTGAGGGGCCAGTTCCTGGAGAAAGATATCATGCTTAGCAGAGTAAAACTCCAATTCATGCCACAGAATTATAGCTGACCCACAAGCTTGCTTGCTGAAACTGAAGGGGACCTGAAGCACTTGCTGCAGAAGGTCCAAGGCTACAGGCTTCAATATGAATTGAAGCTCAACATCAAGAAAACAAAGATTCTCACCACTGGACCAATTAGCAGCATCATGATAGATGATGAAGAGATTGAGATTATTAACAGCTTTAGTTTACTTGGCTCCATAATCAACATTCTTGGTACTAGTAGCCAGGAAATCAAAAGTCGAATTGCATTGGGAAAGTCTGCAGTCAAGGACATCTCCAGACTACTGAAGAACAACTATGTCAGTCTGGAGACTAAGGTGCACCAGATTCAGGCCATGGTCTTCACAATTGTGTGCTATGTATGCATCAGAAAGCTGGATAATAACTAGGGATGACAGAAGAAGAATTGTTGCCTTTGAGCTGTGGTGCTGGAGAAGAGTATTGAATATACCTTGGACTGCTACGAGAACCAACAAGTGTGTCCTAGAGAGGCTGAGACCAGGCTGCTCCTTGGAGGCAAGGATTCTGAAGCTTCGTCTAACATACATTGGGCATGTTGCCAGGAATGAACAGTCCTTAGAGGGGCTGCCATGCTTGGGAGGGCGGAGGGACAGTGCAAAAGAGGAAGACTCTCAATGAGATGAATTGACTCAGTGACTGGGGAAAGGCATGGGTAGGTGTGTAAGAGACAATAATGCTGGCTAAGGATAGGGCAGGGTTTAGAGCTGTTGTACATAGGGTTGCTATGAGTAGCTGGCGACTTGATAGACAGCATATAACAACAATAACCAGCAGTTTTTGACCTCTCATAGCTGGTTTTAACACAAACTGATTAAATGTATCCTGTAATCTCGGAAACAGATACAAAAGGATAAAATCGTGTGTTTTCTTGAAGTTAATGACATCATTTAAGAAAGAAGTCTGAGAGGCGGTTGGGAGCCACTTTGGGAAAAATGAGAAATCTAAGGTATCCTCACGTTTGGATGACACTATGTATTTATAGATTCTTTATAGATTTATTACTCTTTAGGCGACACAGCCTCTACTGGGGAATGATTTGAGATTTAAATCGATTATATATATATATATATATATCTCCTCTTCTCTCTCCAGAATAACTTTTCCTTTTAACTCTTCGAGATCCTGGGTGTCTATAAATAAATAAACCTTCATTCTCCCAACTCTCAAGAATCTTGCAGCTTCTGAACCAGAGAAAACTTTTTGAAAAGGGGGTGGCGAGCAGGAAAGAAAGGTGACCCAAGGCTCCGAAAGCGCGTTTGCGTTGCGTCTCTTTGGCGGCGGGCTGTGGCACGAGCGGGCCACCGTAGCCGCCCTCGCACAGACTGAAGCGCCGCGCGGAGCCACTGTCGGCGGGACTTCCGTGTTGGCGGGATTCTGAACGCTGCCATGGCTCAGACTGTGCAGAACGTTACACTGTCGCTCACCCTGCCCATCACATGCCACATTTGCCTGGGGAAGGTAATGGGTGATCCGGGGCACCGCAGCCTAAAGGGGCCGGGTGTGAAGTGGCGCGCTGGAGCGGTAGGCTGTCCCCGTGCGGGCCGGGAAGGAGCGCGAGGCTCCGCGAGGGGAGAATACGGTATAAGCCGCCCTCCCAGGCGCACGGAGGCCGCGTGCCGGGGGCGCGGCAGACGAGCGCGGCGGTGAGCAGGTTCCTGGGGGCGCCTTTAGAATGAGTAGGACCCCGTACTGGGGCTTGGGGGAGAGCGGCGCGGCGGAGCTGTCCTGGCCTCCCGCGGCCCGGCGTCTGCACGCGTGTCCGGGGCCCCTCGCGCCTGTTTTACGCCTCCCCCCCCCCGCCCCCCCGGTCTCGTGCTCCCCAGCGACGTGCGGAGGGCAGCGGCCCGCGAAGCACAGCCTCCGGGAGCCGAGCCTCCGCTGACGGCGCTCGCTGCAGCAGCCACACCGAGCCTGCGGGGCCTAAAGTACAGATCGGGGCGCCTTTCTCGTTTCCAAGAGCTTTTCCTTTTAAACCTGCCTTGGAGGATGACTTTTGCGCTGGTATTGGGCTCAAAAAGGTGGAAAGGAAGTAGTCCGGGGCTTGAATGATGTGTAGAATGAGAGCTGTCGTCTTTAATAACAAGAATGGGCCAGTGAATAGAATAGTCTGTCATTATGGTACCTGATGTGCTTGTGAAACAAAGTAGAGAAAGTGCTCTTGAATTAGAAAGGAACTTGTTACTATTGTAACCCTTCCTCTCGTCCCTTTCATTTCCATCAGTGCCTCCCTTTAGGTCGTGCTTAAGGAATATTTTCTCACCTAGGTTAAGATGAAATAAGATAAGAGAGAGTGTGCATGAACTGATTTCCACCCACTTACCCATATTTTTCTTAAAATTTGTCGTCTATCTCTGTGCGAACCCCAAGTGCTGACTGTGAAAGTACACCTGGAGTCTTAGAATCGAGAAATGCAGGCTTCACTGAGCAAGCATTTGAAACTCAACCAGTATGAGTATCTTTGGTGTTGATAGTGGTGTCTATGCATTAACTGAGTTCAAGAAGTAGTAAGTAGTGGGAAGCAGCTGTTAACTGCTCACAACATGAAGGAACAGCAAACGAGCAGATGTGCTGTCAGGACACTTAGGGGGTGGCTTGATCAATTCTGACTGGGTGAGGTCAAGGCAGAGACCTCTTGGAGCAAGGTGTTTGCCTGGGATTTTGCTACCTCTACTTACACTGTCCATGTTCCCATTGGAAGCAGGAGTGGCATCCACTTCCTAAACACGGCTCTGAAAACTCTATGAACTTTGAGAAACTGCAATAGTTTCAGAAAGGCTTCAGGTCTTTTGTTCATAGGGTCGCTGTGAGTCGTGCTCAACTCAGTCAACAACACAACAACGTTCTTTACATTTGACTTCTGATGTGACCTCTCAGAAGTAGTAAATTCTAACTAAGTTCGTTACCTCCACAGCTAAGCTTCAATCAGAAAAATCCAGGACGGATAGATGGTTACAAGTTATAAGGATTCACTGAAACAAAGTAGGACCACCATGACATTGAACACTTATTTTTTTTAATTAATTAATTTATTTTTCATTTCAGTGAACATGTACAGAGATTTTGGAATTCCATTCATTCATTGTTGCACCCTTCTCCCCGCCCACCCCACTTCCACCCCTTCCCCCCCTTTGCTCCTCTCCTTGAAAATCAAAAGAAAAACTCCCTCATTGGTACACAGTCCCTCCCCCCCACACACATCCCCCAACCCAAAATATAATCCACTCTGCAACCCTCATTCTGTACTCTTATGATAAACATAATGCCCTAAAATATAATACTTTTAAACTATTCTCTCCCCCATAGACTTCAGTGCAATAAACATAATTCACCCAGTTTTTCTCAGTCTTACCCCCACCCCGATGTCAGCCTCATTCTACAACAGTGGCACCATATAGCATTTGTCCCTTTGTGACTGAGATGACTCACTCAGCATAATGTCCTCCAGGGTCACCCATTTTGAATAATATTGCATGAGTTCCTTGTTTTTCTATGCAGCATAGTATTCCATTGTGCAAATATACCACAGCTTCTCTACCCATTTGTTTGTTGATGGGCACTTAGGTTGTTTCCAACTCCTTGCTATTGTAAACAAAGCCGTGATAAACATGGGTAAACATATATCTACTTGGATGTCATTTATAGTCTCTTTAGGGTATATTCCCAGTAGTGGAATTGCTGGGTCAAATGGTATCTTTATTTGCAACTTTTTGAGAAAGTGCCACATTGCTTTCCACAGTGGCTGCACCATTTTACACTCCCACCAACAGTGAATAATGGTTCCAGTCTCTCCACAACCTTGCCAGCATTTGTTGCTTGCTGTTCTGTTGAACTTTGCTAGTCTTACTGGGATGATATCTCATAGTTGTCTTGATTTGCATCTCTCTCAGAGCTAGGGATTTTGAACATTTCTTTATGTGCTTGTTGGCCATCTGAATGTCTTCCTTGGTGAAGTGTCTGTTCATATCCTGTGCCCATTTTTCAACTGGATCATTTACCTTTACCTTGGGTGCTCATGAACACTTAATTTTTTAATAGAAGCATGCTGCATCATCTCTCTCTCAGGAGATGATTTGTGAGTTTCAACCAAACCACCATCCTTTTTGGTTAGCAGCGCAATACTTCACTCATAGTTCCTTACTCATTTTATACTCATTATATCTAGTTAAAAGTTAATAGAATGTAGCTTGCAATTTTGTTGAAAATAATGTTCTTTTTTATTTCCCCAAACTTTCTGTGTTTAACAAAAATGATAATAACCTAATAGAGTGCAGTGATTTACTGATAACAGAATGTTTTGTGTGTGTTTACTGATTTCATTTTCACTTCACATCAGTACTCTGAGATAAAATGAATTTTCCACTTTTCTTATAAGGGAATTAAGGCTCAGAATCTGGCTTGGTTTAGTAAATTTCTGAAACAATCTTTGGAGCATGTCTACCAGCTCGCAGTTTGGTGTTTGCTGTACTGATTAGATTTATTCTACAGTACTAATCAAAATAATAAAGAAAAGGCATCCCATCACTACACTTAGAACTACTAGCTAAACATGAATAAACCAGAGCATTTTGAAAGTGTTTAGGAGTTGAAATTAATTTTAGAATGAATAGTTAATATAAATGAACATGATGGTAAATCTTTAAATGCATGAGATATTTTTATTTGGAGTATTTAAGTGTCAGAGTATTTAAGGTTGGCACAAAATAGAGCAGGGTTCAGGGCTGCTGTACTTAGGGTCGTTGTGAGTCACAGGCAACTCGATGACACATTACAACAGCAATTTAAGATTTGTATTCCATACAGTTAAACTTTCTTGCTGAAATGACTAGAAGTGAAATAAACCTTACAACCTGAGGTACCCAATCCCTTAAGTATATGCTATTGGTCATTAGGATTGTTATTGGAAGGTTCCTTCTTTCTCTTGTTTTTATCTACATTAATGCACCCACTCATTGCCGTTAAGAGCTGACGCTCCAGTGAGTTTTCAAATGTGATAAATTGGACAAGAGGAGACTGCCCATCTTTCTCCCTCAGAGTAGCTGGTGGATTCCAACTGCCTGCCTTTGAGTTGACAGTGCAACTCCTAACCCACTAAGCTGTAAGAGTTCCTTGTCACCTGTATTATTGATTTGACATGTTGAAAAGATAGGGCTAAGGGCAAAGCCATCACTAGAAGGACTTTCAGAAGGGCAGAAGAATTGTTTTTTAGTATAATTGCCAGTCTATAGTGAATTTGCTTTTCCTGCCAACCCTCCTGAGCTCTGGTGGCCCAGTTGTAAGAAATCACACTGCCAACCCAAGTCACATGATTTGGATCCAGCAGATGTCCAAGAGGAGAAAAATCAACAGTCTCTTCCTGTGTGATTTATATCCCCTGAAAACCCACTGGAGGGTCACCTATGAGTCAGTTCCAATTCGATGGTACACAGCAACAACCCTTCTGGGATATTAGGAGGATTACCAAGTATTCAATAATAAAAATCTTCCCCACTGGGGTACGTTGTCAATCATTCTTCATGGACAGAGCCAGTCAGCCTGTGATTCTTCTGTAGTATTTTGGAAAGTTAAATGAAGTTTATTTTTTTTTTTAATTTTTTATTTTTTTTTTAGTTTGGTAGTGGCCATTGACCTTTTACTCCTGAAGACACCTTTGGGAACATTATCTCAATCTTTCATTTAAGCTCATTAAGATTGTCTTATAGTAATTTTGTAATATACAAGGCATTGTGCCTGGTGCTACAAGTGGAAACAAAAACCAAGAATGAGCAGTTGTGAAGCTCTTTGTCAATGGGAATGACCACTCTCCAGAGAGGAGTTTCTCAACCCATGTGACTCAAGTGGAAGAATGAGCAATAAGGCTCCAGCTGACCTATATATAATAGCCACGAGCGAGAGCAAGAAATAAGTATAATGTGGAAAAAAGAAAAAAATGAACAGGACACTGCCCGGTCCCTGCCTCCAAGGAGTCTGTAATTCAGTAGGGAAGGCAGATTATAAACCATCTTCTGCATACAGGCCAAATCAGAAAGAAGTGCGCATTAAGTAACTGCACAGGGTATACTTTCTGGGAATCAGAAAGTGGCTTAGTTATTTCTAAAAAGGATTAGCAAAGGCCTTGTAGAGAATGTAGGGCCCTCTAAAGACCTTAGGGACTTGTGCGACTCATTCAAAGATCATTCCTTTGGCAATTCAAATCCACCATTGGCTCCTGAGGGATGGGATGGGGGCGGGAGGGATAGACAGTGTCTTCCTTAGGTGATTTACAGCCTCAAAACTCAATGGAGAGGGTCAGCTTTGAAGGGATTCAGACTCTGGCAAGGAATGAGTGATGAGAAGGTAGCATTTGATTTGCATCTTAAAAAAAAGGGAAGAATTAGGTTTTTATTGTATGGGGAGTGGAAAGAAGCCCTCAGGACATTATTAAACAATGTGTGCAGTAAAGTCAGAATCTACTCCTAGTT